TTATAGAACATTGCCCTAAACTCAAACATTGTTTTTTCCAGGCCAATGAACAAACATTTCCTTTAGGCAAAAAGCCTATGTGAGGCATTTTCACATCACACTAACATTAAAGCTGAGGTACGTAGCATTTATAAAAATAACGTTTCCCATCAAGGTCCTCTGGCTCCTCCTAGAGCTCCTGGTGGTATTTGTAAGAATCCCCTGTGCCTGAACAAAAACAGCCATTCAGAGCCAAGAAAGATAGCAGATTGGTGAGTCAGGTTGTCAAATACCAACACTCTTATTTTGGTGACTTGAAGATAGTTGATTGTTGAGAGACTTTAATAATGAGACTAGAAATATTACCTATTACCTAGTCTTTATAGGCACTATCGATACCTTTCTATTAATTTGGTGGAAAGATTAGACGACAATAAATTCTCAACAGAAATGTTATTACTTTTATTGCTTAATTGCAGTTGGCAGGCATTTCATTTGAATTCAAGAATTTTTTTAGACAATCAATGTATGTTTGTGCATCAGGGATTTGATTTAAATGACATGACTCGTCTCTTGAGATTAGGGCTGAAGCTATTGATTAATCAAGTAACTGAGTATTCTATCAATTAGTCCATCAATTAATCAAGTAATCGGATGAGAATTACTTTTGCTTTGTTAAAGCAGAAATAGAGCAATTGTAAATACATAAAAGAGAAAATAAGACACCAGGATTTTTTTCAGCAGAAGAGGAAAGGCTTCTGTTGTACCCCCACTGTACTGGTATTGGAGTATTTTCAAACTGCAGTATTAGTACTTTTTATTTAAGTAAAGGACCTGATCTTTTCTCCACCCAAAGTGCACCTAAGGGAGGTGGGCTTGTGGGTATCCTGTGTCTGTGTTTGTTGTAGGAAGTAAGTATTTCCTGGTGTGTGAGGGATAGTAACCTTACTTTAGTCAGCTGTAAAGTGCTAGTTAGTCCTCCATAGTATGGCAGATACGATTCAAGTTAAATATAATTCAAATAGTTTGGAGGTAAAATGTTTTCGGTGATACGGAGCTACCATGTCTCGATCCTCATCCCTAGTTTTAACATTGTTGCAGGATTTCCTTTTTTTTTACTTCATATTGTCCTTTATTTACTTTGTAGGTTTTGTTTACAAATCCAGTCTATGTGGTTTCAAAACTTCTCTGCCATATCAGGGTCTGACTGTAGCGTGATCTGGACTAGGTCTGGATGTTGGTTGTTTTTGGGACGCTGCTGTGTGTGTGGGTGCAGGCATCTAAGTATCCTGTGCGCTCTCGGGTCTGTCCATGTGGATAAGGTGATGGCAGTTTCCATGCCAGCAGTTCCATGAGACACATCCATCAAGTATGACCGTAAGGTGAGTATTCACCCACCACAGTCCCTGTTACTCTTCATCAGCCACCCACACTGGTTCTCCAGGTGGACAGTTTTGAGCTCATGCATTAGGTGATGCTTGTTGTGTTTTTGATCTGCACTCCTCTCCAATTCCTTTGAAATGACAGCTGTGCTGTTTGGGAGTGACGGAATTTAGTATGGATGTGAAGGTTGGCACAGTAGATTGAAGATCTACATCAACAGTTGAGCTGGACTGAAGCCGTTTTGGATTGAGCTGACACAATATGCCAGCAAAGCAAGATAAGGATCTGTGGCCTTTTTGCTGAGGTTTTTAGCAGTGCCCTTTCAGTCTCTCCGTTGCTTTGGGGGTATCGTGGACTGCTGGTCGCATGTCTAAATTCATATACTGCAGCAAAGGCTGAAATGTGACTTCCTGACAAATGTGGCCCGTTGTCAGTCATCAAGATCTCCAGAACCCCATGGCATGCAAACATAGGTTTGAAGTGAACTTAGTACGTTACCGACGGTCCAAAGGGCTGGCCAGGGTTCGCAGGAAAAAGCAGGCTCTTATGCCGTGCTACAATCCTTTGTTGTGCGCCGAGGTCCGAAACGTATCACCCGGTGTGGGTGAGCGAGGTGAGCGAGAAGAGGCGAAGAGCCGAAGAGAAGACAGTCTCTCGGGCTTATATAGCCGGGATGACGGGTCTGGGGTCCGAGTGAATCTGACCAATGAAGGCCCCCCGCTGAGGGGTCCGTGATCTGTCTTCAGACACAGCAGGCTTTATTGCTTACATAAGGGCCTCACTGTAGTAATGACCATTTCTTTGTTTAAGCACATGGCCAGATCCCAACACCAGTGTGTAGGATTTAGTGAATATAGCAGCAAGTTTGAGATTGCAACTAACTAAATACTGTTTGCACCTGTATTTGACAACCTGGGATTGAGAACAGGCTGTGAAGTGTGTAGGAGAAACTCCTGTGCTTAATGAGGATGACTTTTCTAAAGGCTGTGGGAATGACTAGTCTAGTCCCCTTTAACAGGAGACCATCGGGCACAGTAAGGAAGACGTGCTCTGCCCAGTTCAGCTTTAATGGACCTTCACATGCTGAACTTTGGCCAACTATCCTGACACATGACCAAGGAGCACACACTCTCTGCTTTTAGATGCCCTCTCAGACTGTCCATGTCAGAAGCACTTGTTAGTATCTTTTCCATGATGCTACCGACATAGATGTATGTGCCTTGTCTACATGTCTCAGTCTGCAGCGGTGTGCGTGATAGTCTATCTGCTGTCCACAGGTTCTTCCCAGGGGCATGAGAGATTGAGATTGAGTTTCTGGCTCATCCAGAAAAACTGGATCCTAGGCGTCCAAAGCTTGGGCCCCCAGGAGACTCAACAGTGGTTTATCAAAGTGCCAGCCTATGAAGAAGTCTCTGAATTATTTGCAGGCCCATGTGAGCCCCAAAGCCTCTTTCTCCACTTGAGCATATCTCTGTTCCTCTGGTGAGAGAGAACGTGAAGCATAGGTGACAGGCCTCCAGTCTGTGCTCCACTTTTGCAGCCAACTGCACCTAACCCAAAAGAAGTCACGTCTGCAGACACTTTGATATCCTTGTTTGCGTCATACACAGCTAACACAGGTTTGCCTGATATCTCGTGCTCCTTGCTGCTAAAGACTTTGTCTCGGTCGACTCCCCAGAACCAGTGATTGTTCTTTGAGAGTAAGTCTCTGAGATCTTTGTCTTTCTCTGCGAGCTGCGGAATGAACTTCCAGCTGGTTTACTATTCCCAGGAAGCTACGTAGTTCACTTGTGTTGATCGCCTACGATACTGACGTTTAAAATGTATGCTGGACTCATAGAAAACTCTGCTGCATATTAAATCAAACGCGAAGTGGGCTACAGATGTTGTAAGCTTACTTCTCTCCACACCACCATTTTTTTTCAAACTTCAAACGAACCAAGGCTGACTCAAGTGACATCACTCAACAAATATTTTAAAAAGTCAGCCTAATGAGTCATTTTCTGTTGTTTTGAGTGTAAGGTCATTTAATCAAAACACTTTTCAGTGAATAAGTGTTTTTCCACAATCTACTCATTAGAAGCTAATCAGCTATCAGCTATAATCAATACATCCCCTGATTATGGTGACTAATTCCTCCATGAACTGTGCAGCCTGTGGTTCCTGCAGCAGCTGAGAGGCTTCATACCATCAGACCTCACGCCTGTTGATATAAAAACATATTCAGGCTGCTAATGAAGCCAGTTTCATGTTCAGCAGTTTGTGTTTGGGCTTGTGTCTGTTGTGTGTGTGTGTGTGTGTGTGTGTGTGTGTGCAGAGACAACAGCAGCAGCCGAGATGAAAGCTCATTGATCCCGCACAGGAGCCACAGCTGCTCTCTGCAGAGCGTCTTGTTATTAATCTGAAGCTTTTTAAACGCCTCGATCGCAGTCATTCTTCATGATTACTGCTGCTGCTGCCATTTACACAGAGATTACAGCAGTGTCGCAGGCACAGGTAAATATGTAGGTATTACAGCAGCAAGGTTGTAAACCCTGTTACAGTGACAGAGAGAACAAGAGAGCGTGGCAGGCGGAGATGAAAAATCTAATTTTATTCTATTATATATATCGTTATGTTTCTATTTTTGTTGGGTTTTTTTTACACGTACTGCAGGTTGAAGTAACTGCACAGAAAGTGGTGTTTTCTGCCATAATAAAGTAAATCAGTAGAGCAGAAACATGAGCTGTAACATGATGCTCTTTGTAGTTTAGATATATAATCAATACACTGATACATCCTGATACATTCTGTGTTAGTGAAACAGAGCTCATGATATATCAGCTGTTCTGCTTTCTGGATGTGAATTTATTTCCTTACACAAATAGAGCACGAGCTCCTTGGGTAACACCCCACTGGCTTTGACTACAGTGACTGGGCTTACCTTTTACTGTCGCTGGTTATAAGCTGGTATGTTATGGTCAAGTCTGTATCATTGCAGCTGTTAAGATAAGAAGCTCAAACACACACATACACACACAGCTGATCTCATATACATACATGCTACTGCTGATGAATTTCACCTCTTATAATCAAATTAATGTCAACTTCATGCGATAACATTTTAATCAGGGAGCGTGTCTGATTACCTTACAGTGACCAGCCGAGAAGAAAACATTGTTGACTCCTGCTGCAATCACATCACATCATCAATATCTTTTTTAATGAGGTGATTTCTTGTGATCATCGTTCACTTAAAAAGGGTTAACTTATAAGGTACTTATCCATAGCTAGTGTATTATCTACAGTACACAGATGTTAGCACAACCCCAGTTTGGAGAAATATATGTTGAGTTTTAACCCAACAGTGCATGAGCGTAGGTAACTCTTGTGGTAGTTAGAGACACTAACGTTCACATTCATTAGTTGCGAGCGGCGCTCTCTTAGCGCGGCCATGCTCGTCAACACATATCGAGCATGAGTACAGTGAGTTTAACAACCAGCAGCTGTGTAGCTGTGTAGCTGTTGTGCTCCATCACTCTACCATGTCAGGATATATTTGTAAGTAAATTAATTTAAGTTGATTTTCAGAGTAAAACAAATACCCTCAGATATCAATAAGTTCTGGCAGAGAACATTCGGATCTCGAGGTTTCCTACCTGACTCTCTGGAGATCTGGACAAAGGCTTCAACGCCACTCTCGCCGTAGTTTCCCTCGGAGGCGAGTGTAGACACGTAGTTCCAGCCCATCGCTGTGACGATGTCCAGCATGGCCTGAGCTTGGTAGGAGTCCGGAGGAACCACACGGGAGAAGAAGTCATAGCGTGTGTTGTCGCTGAGCTCTGGAGCCGTCGAGGCATAGCTGATCTGAGGAATCTGTGGAGACATGGAGGAGTTAACTGTTAGTTTAAACAGCAGTCATACTATAGGTGCTTAAAGCGCAGAGATGACACTGTAAATCAGTCTGGTCCACAGTGATTTAATAACATATTGTTCAAGCACACTGTAGCAAAGTCCAAACCTGATTTCTCCAAAGTCAAACAGACAACACACTGTCCCCATCACACTGTGTTGTGATTTAAAATACAATAAATTCTTATGTAGAAAACGGTGAAATGAACCTAAATCATTTTCAGTTGCTTCTACTTAGCCCTTTTTTGTTGCCTTTTTTAACCACAGTTAGGCTGCAGATTCATTCAGTTCATTTTAAAAGCCTACTAAGACAGGCAGTGACAGATGTATTCTGAGCCTTTACTAATGCATACAAGTATCAATACATTCATGTAAAACTACTTGATAAAAGGTAAACGTTTTGGTGTTTGCTCATCTGAACAGTTTTTTCTGGTTGTTTTGTTTTCATTATTGTTTGTTTTGTTTTTCTCATAAGTACACCTTGTCTTTGTATGTGATGATACCTTGTCTGTAAATGCACAATCTGGTTAAATTATTATCATTTTCAAATGTAATGTGGTCAGTTCATATGAGCCAGAGGAAGAAAAGGAAGGAAAAAAAAAGAAGAAGAAATGTTTTTAGAAAAAAAGCTCTTTTTTTGCACTCTTTCAATGTAAGAGGCAGGAAGGTAGAAAACATCACCAGAAGCTGGTTAGTTTAAGCGCTTACAGTTAAATTTTTTATTGTCGTTTCAACCATCCTGGAGTATGTTTGTTGAGATTTAAACAAATTTAATTCCTTAAATCCTGACCTTCCCCGGCTTCCTGTTGTTTAGCTTCTTGTTGGAGTGGAGTTAGCGAACTCTGCCGTGTGAATTAGAGAGGCGGATCAGATCATAGATCCTGCAGCAGACAGGCCGACAGGCCCAGCGGGGCTGGATAATGGTCCTTTAGAGAAGGATTGAAGGGCCGATTGATTTCACTTCAGTCAGAGGTTGGCGTGTTGGACTGAGCGCCGCCGGACGCCTCATCAGGATTCATAGAGGAGGAGGAGGGAAGAAGACGGACGGCTGAGGGCCTGACAGCAATACAAATGTCACTCAGCCCGACTCACTCAGTGACAGGCGGCAAATTAAAGGCCTGTACTGTAAATACAAACCTGTCTGAGAGTTGACGCTATCAGAGCCCTGCAGGTATTGGAAAGGAGCTGAAGTTTATTTCTTCCAGAACTGAACACAAAGAACACCTCTGAGGTTCTGATCCTTTACTGAACTTTTACATTTTAGACACTTTAAACGCTTCCTCTTTATCTGATGGCTGGTTGGGGATTCAGGTTTTCCATTCCATGACACAACAATGAGTTCTCCAAATTAAACGAAACAAAATATGTTGTTTGTCGATGTCCTTCACCAATAGGAAGACATCGTTGTCTCTGCAGTTTTCTGCTGACTATATATCAACAGCTTTGGCAGAACAGAACTGAAAATAAAGTACAGTAATCAATCTTATTTGGAGACATTAAAAGCTTAGAAAAGAGGGGTGATGAAATAGTTTCAGGTAGGGTTTCTAAAATTGAATGCTCATTTACATCCGTAGTCCTCAGCAGGTAACAAAAATACTACAAATGGCAATATCCTGATACACATAATTTATACAATACAGAAGTAGAAAAAGACAGTATACATTATGTCCAGTGAAAAAAAGATCACAGATTTTCCTTAAGCCATTGTTTGAGAAGGGTCTTAAAAGTGTGATTATGAAAGGCACTCAATTATTGCAAGTGGTAGGCCTTTCCAATATTTACTTTCCTTCACAGAAAGCACAGTTTGTCTAAATGGGGTGCGCCTTTGCGGCACCGCACAATCCCCTTTAGTGGTGGCCCTGTTGCCAATGCCACTGTTATCACTGTTTAATGAATTCATTGCACCTGTAAGTGACCCGTCAGTAAAACAATACTCGATGTGTGAAAAAATCATTGAGTGTAAAAACATCCTGGCAGCATTAACTGTCAGAAATGGCCTGGCTTGCTTAAACGTTTCTAAATTAAATTGTACCACGTTCAACACCTTTTTCACATGGAGGGGACTCTGAGGTGTCATGATAAATAAAATAACTGCAGATGGTTTAAGATATAATGGGGACTCTCTATTAGCATTAACGATGCATTGTGGGATGAATAAACAACAGCATCAGTTATTGATGCTCAGTCAGCTGCCGCTCCATTAAAACTCTTATTAACACACACTGCTCCTGTCTGTAAAAGGACCTTACTGCCTTTAGCCCATTTAATGTAAATTATATGTCACTGCTGAGCTTTTCCTGATGCCCATCACAGTGTTCTGTACTCACAGATATCACCCTCCTGTGATGTGAGCATGTGGAGTGAACATACACATTCTCATGTAATTACTCCAGTCTGATCCCGGGTCTACTCCCATTTGGACGTGACCGGAAAACCTCCAGAGGAAGGCAACCGATAACCGATTCTCAGTAATCTGGCACAACAGATAAAACATTATGATTCAAGCTTTGTGGGTAAGACATCATGAAATTATAGCAGTAATGATAATAATAATAATTGTGATGTGGTTTGTGAAATTAGTGGCTTGCTGTATTCACATGAAGTTACAAATGTGTTATTAAATCAATTGCAGAGGGACTCTCAGGGAGAAATCAAACTCGCGCCCTGCTGGTGGCTTCTGAAGGAGTCCCTGCCACAACTGGAGCACTGCCATTTTAATTAGCCTAATTGGACACCCTGCTGAACAGCTCGCTGCAACTACATCTCCATCCTCAAAATGGTGCAATCACCAACTCAAAGACATCCATGTGAAGTAACACTGAGGGTCTTCACAGTGGTCGTGCACACAAGGCTTTTATTTTTAGCAAAGAACAGAAGCTCAAAATATATGAGCAGATCTGGAGCTGCAGATTGGAGCCATTTTTAGAAAATGGACTGTTTTATTGTATTAAAACATTTTTTTGACCTCATCAAGGCTGAAAATCTAACCAACTTTATTTTAAATTCTCCAGTCCCAAGATAACCTTTTTGTTCAGCTGAATTTTCCAGACTATGGGAACCTTTTAGGCTTTACCTTAGTTTCTGAGATATATAATGTTCAAATATCAGATGTTTGATTATAATGGAAACAGACTTAGTGAATAAATCATGATGTACATGAAGCATGTGACTTCAACGTTCAATGAAGAGATGAAAAATGTCAGCAGACAAAAACATCCTGTCTGTATGGAGTGTTGAGGAGACTGTAATGTTCCTCAAATTAATACATGAAACAAACAGAAATGTCATATTTTCATCAAGTTTTTCACCATTTGAGGTTGGACTTATAGTCTTTTAATCAATTAATGGAAACATGCTTTCATTCACATTTTCTTTTGAGAATTTTATTAAAATTCTGCTATAATTGGCACTCCATCTGGATAGAAACCTGGCTAATGAAAAGTAACCTACTGTATAATTTAAAGGCTTGTTGCATTCAGCTAAATTGTCGGCTGTGTTAACATGAAGTCCCCTCCAGGCTTCATTTGGGATTGTTGCGGCTTAAAATACCTGGTTTCGTGGCAGCTTTTCTAAAAAATTGCGATGCATGTTGTTTTTAGGTTTTGGGGTGGGTTTCTTTGCAATTTTAAGGCAACTTGTTCCAGTGAGAATAAAATGTACTGTTTGGAAGGTAAATGTGAGACGTTCGTGTTGCACATCTCTGCATGGTCTGCATCTTCACAACTAGAGACAAGAAAGTCAGTTTGTTGACGTATGGCTCAACGTTTTGCACAGAAATCAACGATTGGTCAAATTTGCAGCAAAGTTGCAGTGATTGCGTTAGCTTGCGATCGCAACATCTCAACTTCCTGAAGGGACTGGTTATAGACAAATGCCTGAAGAGGCTGTAGTCTCAGTAAAAGCTCCTCAGAGTCAGAGGAGGTCTCAGTGGGACAAACAGCTGAAATGACCTGGACCTGGACGTTGGCCCGCCGTGAAGCAAAAGCAGCGGCTGATGCACTTGTCATTTCCCGGCGGCCGAGCGACCTGCTGATAGATGGCGTCCTGACAGCGCTCATTACCCTCAATACCAGACCTTTACTCTAAACCCGGGGACCTACATCAGACCTGGTCTCACACTGAGGACAGACTGGTGTGTGTGCACATGTTTACACATCTTTACATCAGAGGACACGTTGGCTGTTTTCTGCCGTCTCAGGCTGTTTCCTGTGACAGTGATTGATGCTCGTCATTCTGCAACTGCCTCAAGCTTTCTGCCCGACTGAACGATGAGAGAGGAAATCCATCTGAGGTGACAGCACACGTCCATCATGGTTCACTCTGCGCTCTGATTGTCTTATTTAAAGTAAAGCTCTATTTACTGTCATCTGTCTCTTTCCTGGACAATAAACAGCTTCGCCCTCAAGGTAAAATCCTACATGACTATTGCTGTCACTGCTCTGTTTCTCTTAATGTTTCTCTCTCGCTGTGATCAAATTGAATTCAGGGAGAAGTCAGAATGACTCAGTGCCACGCTGCAAAGCCTCTGCTGGAAAAAATAAGATTCAACAACCAGAACTTAAATACCTGAAATTAAAGAACACATGCCATTTATGTTCTACGGGTCTTCGATTGTCCTCCTATTTCCTTAACTATTGTACTAGTTGTAGGCTACTAGTGTACTATTGTACAGTTAAACTATTTTAACAATTTTACCAGTATTATTAACTTTCAATATTACCAGGAGATGAAGGTCATGGTACTTAATACTGTTCTACTAAGAATTGAATGATTTTTCTGACTGACCTTGCGAGAGATTCTAAATGCCTTTTTCCCAAAAAATAAAAAAGGTCCTTACAGCTTTGTGCTTTTTGGCAGAAAATGTGCATCAGTGATGATTCTGTCACAATCGATAGCTTCATTTATTCAAAATAAATAGCTGGGCTATTATATTTTAGATATTGTTACTTCAAGCTTTGTATTAA